TGATTATATTGTCCTGAGCTCTAAGACGCAGACAACCTTCCCTCCGACGATGGAGCCGGACTCCCAGTAGGCTGGGGGCTGGTCGGTATGCCGGTCACTATCAGATTTCCCCCGTTCTGTTGATGGTTCGCGCCATTAGTCTTCTCTGCGCGAGACCTAACGAATTCTAGAAGCCGGTCACCCCTTCACATCTCCAATTTCTGTTTTTGCACTCGTTATACGACGCTTGTGCTTCGTAACATGGCAGAGGAAGAGTGTACTCAGTAACTGTGACAAGATTTCTACACTAGTCAGACCTTTCGCATTCTTACACGAAAACATCAGAACCATAGATAAAAATCAGAAGAGATATTTAGAGGACTGCAGTATTTATAAGGTTTCTGTGCGATCACATGCCTACCGACTTTTAGGTCGCGTTCGCGTCACATATCGTCGAACATTCATCTGGATGTTTACAATTAGTGTGATAATGGCTCGGCCAGTTATGTTAATTATTGCGCCTTCAGAATTAGCAGTGATCGGCATGGCACTCGTGAATTTGGCTCCTCAGTAGTATCTCCGGAGCAGTGTAAATTTGCGCCTTCCCGTGAGTAATTAGTTTGCCGTGATGCTCATAGTCTTGCATAAGCTGTTGGGATGTCGCTGTGTTTCCTAATTTATACCTCGTCGACGTATCATAAATCACACAGCTGATGCCTTTTATGAGGATTTAAGCTTCACTCAATCTGAAAATATGGCCGTGTTGTGCCGAGTTGACCGTCACATGAGGATTGACGTCCCTAATTAGGCTTAAGATCGTATTACAATTGAGCCCTCAAAAACCTATAGCTCTTCTGTCTCAACTTATCCCTTTCAGTTACTGATTGGGGACTGTAGTTTTAAGGCGAAAGACCAGGCTAATAAACCCCCTGTTCCAGGCGTCTACCCTACACTTTGTCTTAGTTCTTTCACTTGATGTCACTCTTTGAAATGCACATAGTACTAGCTCCCAACCTGCAGTTTTTTATCGTCTTGCGTATACTATCCTGACTCTGCATTGAGCATCCATTCCTCTCAGTCAAATTCACCACTCATCGGTCCAAATAACCTTGCTCTTCGCAACATTGCCTGACCTAATCAAAGTGCACTTGTTTGTGTTTTTCATTCAACCACGGCACTTCAATCAGCCTCTTTACCTTAGACCGTACTTGTTCAAAGGTATTCGCAGAATAAGAACGGATGCATAAAATTCACTTTCAAGTTGCTAAACAGAAGAGGACTCTAACTAAATACAATGTGCGCAACTCTGTAGCCTATGATCTGGCGTCGCCTTGCCACAGGACGATTGCTACCCCGAATCGGCTGATAGGCCACCGTTGTCTCATATTGTTCCAGCCAGTGATTCTGAGGTTATTCAGACATTTGAATATCCAGCGTTTAGAACAAGCCGCTCTGAAGGCCATGAGCCAACTCGCGCCGAATGTGGGACACAGATTCAATTTTAGGGTGCACCGGGCAGTACAGGCATACTACTCAGAGGGGGTCCTAATTTTTGGCCCTCCCATATTTCGCGTCTGATTATTTCCTTTCTCTCCTCCACTAGTCGGACAGCGGTTTTGACCCAACGCCACCGGCCCGCGTGCCGCCGCCACCGCAACAACCACCCACAGGAGGAGCCCATTCAGTGGTCGAAAGTTCAGACTTGAGCCAAACCGCTACCAAATGCGAAAACGTCGGCACATCTGCCGATGTTCCTGACTCCAGTCAACCGACTGTGGAACCACCGTCATCGTGTTTGTGCTCCGCTCTGCGTCGCCTGTATGATAACCTCGATCTGGGCCTCTTCCTGAGCCCCTGCTTCCTTCTCTTATCTCTAGCCTGCACACTTCATATGCTGGGTAGGTCAAATGCCTCTTCTACTGTGTATCGTTACGCCAGTAATAAACGCGCACGTAAGACGAGGCCTTGTCCCACGCCACCCGCACCCCCCCCCCTCCTCTGATTTAATCTGTTGTCAGCTTGACCCGGGCTTGTTAGTGTGGAATGATAACTCTGGCGCTGCCTTAAACTCTCACTGTGCGTCGGAAGTTCCGACTGTGAGGGGTTGTCAGTGGCCGAAGAGGAATTAATCCTTTGGACTGCCGGTCCAGCTGATGAGGTCTCTGGCCTGATGAAACCTGTTTCATTTAGAGTGAGGTGGAATCCCTCTCCTACTTTGCATCGTCATATTGGGACCCAGTGAGCACCATGTGAATTAAATAGGTGACCTATCTGATGGGATGCTGTGAAATCTGAAAGAACGTACCTCTGACGCAGATACCGCCCACTCCCACACCCCCCGGGAGCGATCGTTTTTACATAGATGACGTCATTAGGTATGTAATTGCGGTGGTGGTCCTTATTGCTTGCGGCGGGCGAACTGTCGGGTTTATTGTCCTCTACACTTCTGATGTTTTGTCTGGTCTGGTTTCGTAATTTCGTTGGCATTCCTTGAGCAGACTTCGACTACTATTTGGAGAAGCATATGGGGAACGCTGGGGGCGGCCGCCCTGATGAGCCGAGCCCCTCGCAGTTGCGCAGTGCAGTCGCCGAAAATCGGCTCATCACAGGTGCACGGCTTGATTTTCAATTTTTCCATGTCTGTGTCAAACCCCGAACAAACACATCCAAGCAGCCCCGCCCACCGCGGTCACCGCCGATGTCAGTGAAGTTTTTACTCGCACATTTATGGCGCTTTAAAGATTGGTTGATTGATTTTGCAGCGCATGTGACAGGCACAGCATTTTGTGCCCAATGGCGCGCTTTGCCGAACCTGCATCATTAAGGCCGTACGAAATGTATGCCAGACTGACAATTCATATCCGCACCATGCCGTTGCTGCTTCCGGTGTTTTTTTGTGCACCCTGGGTATTGCATCGGCGACCTTCCACCGCTCTTCGACTGTAGGGACTTGGAAAGTTGCCGACTGACGAGATGAGCGACCTTCCGTACTGAGGGTCGCATCGCATTGGCCTTGGTGTGACGTCATGTCAGTCCTCAACAGTATGACGTCAGTGACAACGTGGTGTGATTCGTGTAGAGTGGGAGATATCAGCGCATGTATGGTACGCGTAGACGGACGCTTATTGCAACTCAGACCTTGGTGGGGTGGCGGGTGAGGGAAGAGAGAGGAAGAAAAAGGGGGAGTGAGAGAGAGAGAGTGCGGTGGATGTTGCGCAAGGCTGTCTTACTATAATTAATTCACCCACAAATCGCGCTTGCTGTGCCCATCTCGTGGAGCCCGCAGCGGGATGTCGCGGCTGGCGACGGCTGAACTGTTATATCGGGTATGACCGACTGCCGGTTTGGCCTAGGCCATACTCTGCATTCCCTGCTCCTGCAGTGTACCATTGTCGGAATTTGTTTGATGGCTTACCCGGACCCTTTTTTTCATTCCGCCCCCTTTCCCCCCCTCGTTCCGAATGCAGCCTTTTTTGCGCCCTATCATCTTCTGCCGCTCTATCTGACTCTGGAGGGAGATACTCCGGCATGTGGAAGACCAGTCACAACGACCCTAGTCCGACACCCACCTCGCCGTATGCCCTACCTTGTTCTTCCACAGCCCTTCGCTAGCCCTACACACATCGTCTTCGCCATCGGCGTAGCCCACCTCATTGGTCGCGTCATCGCAAGTACGTTACATGTCCGCCTTTGTTGGTTTCCCTTTGTGTTTGTTTTTTTTTGCATTTTGCCTCTGCGCTCAGGCGTCTGCACGTAGAAGTCACAGGAGGATGCAGCTCAAGATGTTGCCTACTACTTACTTGTTGTTGCACACAGCAGTTTGGAAGAATTCCCGCCTGCTTCATCTGTCATTACTAGACAGGAATGTCCACAGTGCGGCTCCAAGAACTCTCGACATGTTCAACCAGGGCTCGTGAAACACAGCCTTCTGACTGTCCTAGTTTACTGAATGGCGGCTTATGTAGTAATGGTTTCTGTGGTACTTGGAGGGGTACGTCCGAAGTATAACCATCACTGTTCGTTGGGATCGGTGCCCTACATGGTTGTTACTTGCGGCCGTCGGGTAAATGTCCGGATTTGGTCATCGAAGTCGAAAATGAACCTATCAGCAGTATGTCCGCCGTATTCACTTCCTTTTACTACGGTGCCTCAGCCGATGTCGAACTATCTGCCCCGAAAATGTCACATTTAAAGGTATGCTCACGTTAACTTATTCGTTTGATGGCAATGTACACGATAAAGCCGCTGAAAAATACAACAGCATAATGGGGGTTTTACATCTATTGACATGGTTCAAAATCTACTCATAATGAATATGGCTACATGGGGTCAAGGTTCAATACATATACCACTCAAGGCTTGGTAGGAAATGCTGAGCCTAGAAGCGTAAGCATTTACATGGAATGGCGTTATTGAGGAGTTGGTTCTTCCGGTGTCGCACTCGTAGGCATTGTGAATAACATTTTACGATGACATTAGAGTGGTCTTGGGCGTTGCTGCGTTCAGGAGATGCAGTGCGGTCTGAGGGTTGGTTCAATCCTTGGTAGTATCAAAACAAGACAGCAAGAGCCCGCTTTTGCGTCTTGGAGGATGCGGGATTTTTTGTACAGATATGTGCAGAACATGATGGAGGCCAAGATTTCATGGTCATCGTACTGAAATCCTCGGTTTTTGCCATTCTACATCTTTATTTACCTGGCCGTCAGCGATAGGCGACTCACATGTCATTATGCGAGAAGCATGGTCTGTTTTTACTCCCAATCTGTGTTTATTCATATCCGTGCACAAAAGGCAGTTCAGCCGAGCATGAGTTCCACGCCTTTCCGGAGTTAATATAAGGTTGCGTTTTGATTAGATGTTAGATCTCACACCCTTTGATTATTACTGATGCCAGGTTCTCACTGATGAATATCCCACAGGCATATTATTTGCGCAGTTTTCCATGTCCTAGTCCACTGTAGATAAGACTAAAAAAGATAGCCTCGGGTAAGCTTCTTTCTCTTCGCCATCAGATACGGCGGCCAGAACCCAGCCATTTTTCACAAGCATCTAACACATTTTTAGTTACCAAGGTGACTGCAGAGAGCGTTGATTGTCCCCTCCCTCAGTGTTAATTCCGTTGGTTCAGTGTCGAAGCTCTTCGAACCCTGAGAGTTATTTTGAAAGAATAATTCTTCAACTCTTCAGAAGTTTTGACAGTGTGTCATAACCTCTTTTTCCAACTTTTACTACTGGCCAACTCTTTCGCGCCCGCTGCACACAGAAAAAGGACGTAAACGCTCAGAACTTTTTTGGTATTGAGAAGACGTTTATTACCTGCAACTGGTTTGTTTCATGCGCCTGCTCTTACGCTCGTCGAAGGTCTGGGCTGTAGAACTAGCCCAGGCGTGTTGCAACGATCACTAAAACGCTGTGCAGTAGGTGGGCTAACTCATGAATTGTCAACCGATATTCCGAAGTGCGTTTTCGTTTCGAAAAGATTAATTGAGTAGGGTTGTGAAACTAGTCAGCCTACAACATAATTATATAATAGTCCAGTTACGTCAGGATGCCGCATTTCGAATGAGCTTCCTTCCGACCGCATGCAAAGACAACACTCTGTAAAAAGCGACTTCATAAGTAGCATGAATTTTTCTCATCGATTTTTAGTGCCCCTAAAAATGCAATTATATTTAATGGAAAAAATGCATAAAAATATTCATTCTTTTGCTCATTCGGTAGACAATTACGTCTTCTTCCAATCTTATACTCAAAAAGGGTATAATTCGGTTTTCAAAAACTTTTCCAATTCCCGAATAATTTAGAACCCGCTCTGCCGTTACGCCTGGATTCAGGGTTCCCAAACAACAAGCCGTATATTTTCCGCGTACGGGAAACCACACATTTCTCTACGGTAGTAAAGTGAGACTATACAGGTTTCATAAAATTTAGCAGTGGAGTTGAGCCATATTGTTAACTTTACAAGTGACATTAGTAAGTGCAGAGACACGACGATTTATGTACGGCTGTTTCACGGTATTCAAAAGTCCCACAATTAGAAACTTTTTAAAACTGAATTATGTCCCTCCTTCGAGTATAATATTACAAGAATACGCCATTTTCTACCGAATGTGCAAAAGAATGAATACTTCTGTGCATGCTTTCCATAAACTATAATAGAATTTTTAATAACATCGAAAATCAATGAGAAAAATTCATGCTTCTTATGTAGTCGCTTTTTACAGTGTAGTCTTTTCATGCAGTTGGAAGGAAGTTCATTCGAAAGCCAGCATCCTGACGTAACTGAAATATTATAGAATTATGTTGCAGGCTTACTAGTTTTACAACCCTGCTTAATTAATCATTTCGAAACGAAAACGCATTTCTTAATTTCGGTTGACGTTTCATAAGTCAGCCCACCTACTGTGGGGTCTATCGTTGAACATGAGAGTGGTTATTTGTGTCCCTACTAGCTATTAAAAGTGAAAATAGGAGAAAACTTGCTTTTTTTCGCGTTCGTCCCGCCCGGGCTTTCTGCTGACTCCTGTACAGTCCAGTGTTCACTTATCGCACCGGCTGCAGGCAGTGCTCCCTTCTCGAATTTATGTAGCCTATTTCTAATAAAAGGCTGTAGACTCAGGTCACAAAGACTTCTGGCTTTCGGTCAGTAATGACTACTGGGTCGTTTGCAGTCACTCAACAGCACAGTTTAGTTCCTCTTCGCACGCATGCATTCGCACACATTCACTGACCAAACTCGATAAATTTTAGCCAAAATTTTGAAATGCCTTTTCGGTTAAGAAAAAGTGCCTCGGCGGAACCACTTATCCCAAGTCGCCATGCATACTCTTGAAACTGGGCACAAATTCGCTTGGGATAAAACACGCATTGTCGGTTCCTGCCCACATAAGAAAGGCCGAGAATTCCTAGAGGCCATTCACCCTGATGATTCATGCATCAAACGACGCATCGATCTTGACGCCCTTTTCATAAATCTCAAAGAAAAATGGAAAAAGATAATGGCCAATCGAAACGTGACGTCAGCCCACAGCATTGACCCATCCTCAGCACTGACGAGGCGATATCGATTTTTTTGAAGAAGATGATAGGCTCTCCCCTCGCTACACTTCAGACGACGACCTGGGGAACCAGCGGCGAAAATTTATGAAATAAAGTTTGTTCATTTTCCCAAAGGACTCATTCTTCTTCGAAATATTGGTAATCTGCGCAGCCAGATATTTCGGTTACGGCAGGATGTCGGCCTTCAACTGCGTTTCTTTCCGGTCGCCTATTTGATTAGTATGAATTTTCCCACCGATTTTCGGTGTCATTACAAATTCAAACATAGCTTGTAGAAAGCATGCACGACAATACTCTTTCTGGTACTCGTTTGGTAGAAAATCCCGTTTTACTCAAATTATATTTTCAATGAAAGGATATATTTTGGTTTTGGAATTGTTTTTCATTCCTGAATACTTCTTGAACACGATCTGCTGTTGCATTTGCGTTTAGGGCCTACGGTCGACAAGCTGCATACTCTTCATGCAAGGAAAACCATACATCTATCTATACCACTAAAACGATACCATATAGGACTTGTAGAATTTTGCTATGGGTGTGGACTATGTTGCGTACTTCATAAACAACATTAGAAAACGGATAGATGCGATGGGCATTTCGCGGCCTTTAAAGATCTTACCTTTTCTGAGCCAAACCATGCCTTTTCTCCTAGCATAAAATTTGGAGTAAAGGTGATTTGCTGTCAATCGAGTGCAAGAAAGTATGTTTAAGAGCGCGTTTTCTGTAAAAACGAATTTACAAGGTCATCGAAATTAAATATAAAGAAGTTATACTACTTAAGCAACCATGTTTTACCGAGTGTGGTTTTCGCAGGCGTCCAGAAAGAAATGCATTTAGAAGCCGACATCCTGGAGTTACTGGGATATCTGGGGCTTATGCCATACGGTAATCACTATTGCAATCATTCCTAATTAAAAACGCAATCCGCTGTTTGGTTAGCACTTCATGAGATTGTTTAACGGCTCTGAAATGGTATCCAAGTGCGTTGTCGTATTCTTGAACCGTGCTGATACCTCCTTGTTGGCGATCGGCCGGCAACCATCAATCCTGCTGGTTGCGCTCTAAGTAGACTTTCGGGAAGTGGAAGAGGTCCGGGAGAGCCATCGTGTTCGACAGAGGGACAGAGCGCATTGTCTCAGATGTCACAGCTATTGCATCGGGTGTCCCATTCACTGTCGCAGGGGTAGATGAGCCAGCGTTGTCTGCTGATGATTGGGTGGCGCTCTGGGGGCTCTGTGATTGGTTGTGACGGTACCACTGGGCTGCTTCTCACCCTTTTAGACTGTGTGCATATGTTCAGCTACGCCTTGGCAAACCATGGCCCTCGCCGCCTGGCGCGCCCTGGCGGTTATTTGACACCCGGCTCCCTGCCGGTAAATGTGTTTGCGCTCCCGCTGGGTATGCAGGCCGTGTGCATAGTTGCCCAGTGACTTGTGTCTTCCTCCTTCTTCTGGCCCATTTTTGTGTTATTGATTAAAACTCTGGTCATTTGCTGAGTAAATCAGGGAGTATGGTGGTACGCCTAGGTGCGGTCCGGCTGTACCAGCACAGGGGGGTCGGAGGTTGACTTCGCCTGTGTGTACAAGTTTCCAGTGCTCGTAGTGCACTTTCTCGGGAAGTCGAGTTATGCGCCGCGAACTACGGTGCTGAACAATTGAGCAATCTACCCATTTACTTTTCTGCGTTCCCGAGAATGTTGTAACTTGTACCATATCTCTTCCAGTCTGGTTTCAGGCCGCGATGGAGACTAGGCATTCCACCAGTGCGTACTTAGTTGTCCATGTGTCAATTCTAAGACTCTGTAATAAGCAGCATTAAAGCCACCTCTTTGCGTTTCGTTGTCATTTTATCATCCACCTGCTTTAGAATAAGGGCAAAAATTCTTGTCTTGTTACGACTGCTTTCAGAAAAGACTCGCGCGATGGCTGGGAGAGGAATTTTGGTCTGGATTTGACCAATAGCTTTTTCCTGTCTGAAACTTTGGAATGCCAGAGGAACTTTAAATCGTTCCACTTTATGCAATGTATCCGCTTTTCGGGCATATCATATTGTCGTGCCTACGTCCAAGGCAGTCGAACCTCCTAGGAATTTTCCTGCTTGTTAAGAGCGTTTCGAAATGCAGTACTATCATCTTCGATGACTCGGATGCGGAGATTGCAGCCCCTACAGTCATTTTCTGTATCACATACGGAAAGTAATTCTGTTAAAATTTTTCTGAGGAGAATGTCTAGTGCCTGGATTTTAACCCCCTTTTATACAAATACCGCCTTTATTGCAGAATCTTTTATTTAATCTACATTTGCCAGACTAGGGCGTGATCAATGCCGAAGGACACTCTTGACGCAACCGAAACACGACGCCTTTGGTTTCTGTTTCGCCTGCAAGGTTCACTTAGATTGCCTCACCAAATGATCCCACTACACTCTGTCGTAACTGCCTGTGCCTACTCTAACCGCCTTCCTGACTCCTAGTGGAAACTGCGCTCTTTTCCCATGCCTCTTGTCATTCTTCATTGCGACTTTCCCTTCCGCCTCTGCTTTCAGCCGTGTACCTGGAGAAGAGCATGAATGGACCATCTGTTAAATCCCGGAAGGGGTGTTTTCGACTCGCTGATCCCATGACCTTGAATGTTCTCACCTTGTTGATCAGCAGTCTATCTCTGGCATTCATTCCCCTGGCCATGAAGGACATATGTCTGCCACAGACGGAAATTGCCAAATGCAACTGTTTTCCACCACCTTTGGGTGTTCTCTACATCCTCGTCATGTTGCACACTGCGGTCAGTGGTAAGTAATTCTCAGCCAACTCTTATGCCACCACCACCACCACCACCACCACCACCACCACCACCACCACCACCACCGTCATTGCTATCGTCCCCCTACACCTTTCAAAAGCCTCGTTTATGTTGACTTCAGGGAGTTGAATGTGGGAGTGTGCCCTCTTACTTTCAATTAAAAACTCAAAATAGGCCGAATATAAATTGGGTTTGTGTATCTTTTAAGGTAGTCACCGTTGTATTAAGTCAGGCGACCTAGTTGGTTCTCGTTGAAATCTAGCATTTCTGTTGCCGGACAGTGGATCTACGGCTGGAGCGTTAATCATTATGACAAACTGGGTCGCTATTCAGATTATACGTCTTCCCGACCTGCTATTGGGATAGGATCGGCTTGTTGCTGCCTGCAAATGATCCGTAAATCGTAACTCTGATCTCTCTTGTTTTCGGCGGTGATGTTTCTGGTTTATTGACTGCTACTCACTACGCCACCACCTTCGGATGTACTGAACCGAAGGTCAATAGCAAAGCGAGATACGCCTGCTTTGTTTTACAATTAGGTCATGCCGGCGAGTGCTCTTCCTGCTTGATTAAGTATTCTCCTATCTCATTCGACGGCATGGAACTGTGACACAGCTAACACCATCTCAGGTTTGATGACCAATTGGATCCAAGTTTAAGTATCCTTCCTTACCTGAGGCTCTGTTTTGACTTCCTGATGACGGAAAATAGGCTAGAAACGACCACCTTGTCTGCAGTACCTTTCGATTCATAAGTACGCATTAGCGAACTTTGTTTAGGGAAGGGCTGAGCACC